TTTGGATCCACTTGAAAAATTCAGATCAAAAATTGTACTTCATTTGTCAATTTTGGACATACGGTAGTACGTGGATTGAACCAAATATCATCAGCCATGTATGGTAGATAAACATCAAATGTATTCTAAGAAAATAACCTTGATTAAAAAGTTTTGGGAGAAAGAAAGTTTCAGAAGAGATACTGACACTAATGTAGAAATATTGATTTTGTTTACCTTGATTGCAGAAGTCGAGTCCTGCGAATTCCGTCAAAATGCAATTAAGAAACTTGGAAAGATTTGAACGTTGGGCGAAGTCAATCGATAATGATAAGGAGTAGGGCTAGTATTGATTTTTAATTGAATTGTCGGATGTTTACAGATTAATAAACGAGATGTATAACCCAAGTTCAAGTGACCCGAAATTTCCTATTGCTGTATGCCTGGGTCCCGTTTCACAAATCCTTTCTTCAATGACAAATGACAGAAATCAGTGACAAATCTGCTGATAACCAATCGGAAGCAAGGATTTCAGTAGCTTATAACAACAACTGTCATTTGTCACTGATGGTAAGTTTGTGAAACGCCCCCTTGAGTACCGAAGTTTGACGTAATACTGGCCAAGACATCACGGTTACTGGTTACAATGAATTTAGGGCTAAACAATGGGGTGGTGATCGCGCAGGCGCCAAGCCCTGAATTTGCTCTGGACATAAACGGATATGATGTAAGCGAATTGCTACATTTGATCCCTTGATTTTAACCGAAAGCACTTTAATACGATCAATATACTATAATACCTTTTAAAAATGTTACACGATGAAATTTACAACGAAATGTAAATGAAGCAACTGATAATAGGCGTTGACGAAAAACAGAATCTTAACCGTAAAGAGTGATTTTAGATTATGTCGAAAATACAGACCTTGGAAGAAAAAAATAATTAAATCCGACGCGAGATCTAAGTAATGTGGAGACGATAGGTAAATGTAAACTTCAATCTAACTTCTTTTGTCAACATTGACTTTAGACCCTCTTAAACCCTGCGCTGGGTTCAGATTTCAGGAGAATACATAACTATTGGGTTGTTATAAACATATCTGATATCTTTAGCATCTTGTTTAGAATTCACCAGATTGCGTCATGCTCTTCTACATATTGCCTTATTACAATGAAGTTTGACGTTGATATACTTAGCCCTTTAAAATTAAGTACCTTAATAATGTAAGGAAGCTCTATGTCACTTGAACTCAGGTGACCGTCCCACAATATTAATGGCAGATGAGTGTGTTCTCGATCGAGGGAATGCGTGTTAGTCTTTGATTGAGAACTAGTTTTTGAGAACATGGAGCTTTGTAGCTATATGTTATGAACTGTATTAAAAACTGTATTGTAGTAAACAAATTGCACAAGTAGTAGGATTAGTTAAGGAGAGGAAAATAAAACACTTTGATCATGTTCAAAGGCACCAAATCCTCTTAAAGGATGTATTGGAAGGAAGAGTAGAAGGAAGTAGACCTAGAGGGAGATCTAGACTCAACTGGGAAGAGAATGTCTAGAACTGGAGTGTGGACTAAAACTGCAAGAGTGCACCAGAATGGCAGAAGATAGAATGAAATGGAGAGATGTTGCAATCAACCTCCGAACCGGGAGAAGATACTTTATAGATAGTATTAAAAATTATCACATGCTTATCATGAACATTAATGTAGATCAGAGGATGGTGACATAATTTCCATGAAAAATGGTATCATACGGTTATATTATTCGAAATTGTAAAATAATTACTAGGGATAGTCGCGATGAAGCATTACTGCAAAAAGTATTATATCTATAGAAGTGACTAAACATGTCTGAATATAATTGATAAGAAATTACATGTACTTTTTTTTAAAGAGGGGGGGGGGGGCAGTTTGGTTTACATCACTATATGTGTCTGTTTTTCTTCAAACCCCATTAGTTGATCAACTTTCCGATGTTTCTTCTGTTCAGTTTGTTTTGGTGCTTCAGTGGCGTAGCCCTAAAACATTTGGTCAATTCCCCAGCATCGAATGGCACAGAATAAGAAATAATATAGAAACAAATAATGTAAGCAAGAATGAAGAGAAAAAGGAAGGGAGTGATGAAAGACAAACTAAAAACACAAAACCCCTTGTCACACCTGTCCCTCACCTGATGCCCCTATTCTCTCATATTTCATCCACTAAAGTAAGTCTGGTAGGACCCCATATGGTACAACCCGGCGGGGTGGGGCGGGGCTTAAAATGCCAATTATATTACGAAGACAGGTGATGATGTATGAATTGGTACTGTTGAAGTGCTCCGACATTAAATCTTGTTCCGGTTACAATTCTTCTTGGCTTTCAATAATTCCGCCAACCATAGGCTTCGGGTTAAAATGGCAATTAGGTTTTACTTTTAGGCTCGGTTTAGAATTAGGGTGGAGTTAGGGTTAAGTATAGTAGGGTCCAGCATTGAAGTTAGGAATTCCGTTGATGTAGCAAATTACTGATGACATTTTTGGTATAGGAGCTTGTATCGTACAAACCAGTGTTCAAGGCTGCTAAAGGCTTGTTTCATAAAAATGATCATTTGTCACACCTGGATGAGCGAGCGTATTTAGATAACTCGAGTAGCGGGTAAAACATACATGGCAATTAAGCAGACTCATCTCAGCGATTTACCTCTCCGTTCTGAGTGCGCAATTAATGAGAGGATGTCATTTCGCTAAGTGCTTGTCTCTATTCGAAGTGGAGTCATTATCTATGCTTTGATATTATACGATGGGCGTGGGGAGGAGGGGGGGGGGGGACTACAGAAAGCTTTTATGGAACTGAAAGTAAACATCCTATTAATATTAAACACCATTTTCACATTACATATCGCTTCGTATTGACGTCACACTTACGTAAACTCGGATTTTGTAGGTTGCGATAAAGAGAATGATGTTAAAGGATTGAATCGCCTTATATTTGTATTTGCAAGCGCTATGGTACTTATTGTTTTTAGCGCTCCTAAATATGCCATATTATTATTAATATTATTATTATATTATTAAGTCCCTCACTATAAAAAAAGGTGTCGGTAAAATAAAAAAGGGAATAGTCATTAACATACAGCTAAGTATACATTTTTAAAAAAATAGTATTTGTTTGATAGCCTGATTAACAAACAATGTTCCGTGTGTAACTTGCGTTACCAAGTCACGTGTCCCGCCAACATGACCAAGGCACAGATTGAAAAGGCGCTGCTTACCGGTCAATTTGTATGGTTGCCATGGATACCGTGTCTACAGTCATTCTTTTAATTGTGTTTACCAGGGAGTAACGCCTGTTTTGCCTGTTATGGATTATCTTTCCCAGTAAAATCTTTTTTTTTTCATTGCTGAAAATGTGCATTTCTGTATTTATTTTTTCATCGCGTAACACACCCACTCTAAGATGCTTTTAGTGTAGAGAATAACAGCAGTTAAATGTTTGAGATTGAAACGGCCAAGTACTAATCCAGGTTCTTTTAGTTTGTTTGGGTAAAAACATTTACATTAATATTACTAAGAGTAGTGTTTATTAAAACACGGTGGTCATAAATTAATTGACATATTTCATGCGAGTGTATATAACATCACGCTTATCTAGACAAAATGAGAAATATAAGTTAACATATTGTGATAAATCCATATTTTAGTTGTAATACAAGATAAAAACAAATCAAGGTAAAAAATAGGGAAACGAGGACACTGCGGACACCTTATTTGTGTAACATCTCTTGAAAATATTATTTCAAGCCTCGACATGCAAAACGAGGAGGGTTTCCTCACCCTTACTGTTAGATTCATATTTTTCTGATCCCATTATTTTAGACTGTGGGCTGAATGTTCAACACTCCTGTTTGTTGTCTTGACGACGGGTTTTTTCATATTTTCTGTTCTCCCAATCATAACCTTGCGAATGTCATCTTTTCCAATAAAAATCAACTGTGTCTCCAATAAGATGGAGCGATTTATCCGCAGCATACATTTTTCCCCCTCAGATTTCGAGATAATTAACTTTCGCTTGCCATTTTCTGAATTTGTTTCGTCGCAATTGAATCGTCATTTTGTCCCTGGCTTGAGTATTCTTTAAACATGAATGGCAGGGGCGGATCTAGCTTTTTGCCAAGGAAGGGAAGGGAGGGGGAGGGTTGACGCGCTGTTTTACTGTTTTACTTTTTTTCTCCTTTTTCAACTTCTTCCCCTCCCCCCCCCCTTTTTTTTCACTTAGCCGCCCAAGGGTGGGGGGGGGGGGGTAAACCGCCGAACCCCCTTTATCTGCCCCTGATGGGATAACGATAAGTTGCATTTGAGAGCGATATGTAGGGGTAAAAAAAGTGGCCAAAGCTCACCTTACGACCGTACAATGACTAGACTGGAATAAATTGCAATAGAATGAGAGCCATATAATTGTTGTGAACGGTTATAATTATGAACAGTATACAATCATTTCGCCTAACATGGGAAATTACATTGTTTATGCATGATGCATATGTGCATAGGATGCATAGGATGCATAGGATTTGTGCATGTACGTAAATGTGTATGATTATTTTTATTAATACATCCTTTTCCTTTTTATGAACACATTGATGATTTTATTTCTTCAAAGATTTGTCTTCTTTCATTATAATGCTTTAACGCTTAAGCTTTTTTATTTTTATTTTTTCATTTTAGTAAAGAAAAAAAGTTACATGGTATTGTATTATTTTGTTGTATATATGTAAATACAAAACAAACAAGTTTTACATTCATATGTAAAAACAAATTAACAGAAAAAAATCTTGCCAAAGAATGGAACTAGGCTCGACTAGCACTTGTGCTAACTTCTAGTTCCCATTGACAACTTCACCTAAACATAGTATAAGGGTTAGATCCGCACATTACCGATGAAAGTACAACGATTGGCATCACTGAGGTAGTAGGTATTGACGAAAAAGCTCTTCCTCCTCATAATAATGTTCCCTTCCTTCTTTCTTTTCATTCTCTGCAGGGAAAACGTTCTCCTCAAATCACCATCAAACAGATTCGAGTACGAATAGAACCTGATAAAAGAGGGAAGCGTACCAACAAAGCTTCGACTAAACAAATCAGGGCGCAACCGAATCGACTGAGCCTCCGGCAGCGCCAGGAAAGAGAAGCAGAGACGTCTTTCATCACCGCACCTGAGATTTCCACAAAAAGGACAGATGGTGCCCTGGTGAAGATTGCTGCCTGCACAACCGATGTTGCGCTCGGTAAGGCGACAGTTTCCACGCTCAAAGGAGACTCTTTCACATCAGAAACAGAACTTCTTGAAGTGTTGGATCGGCAGAAACGTAAGCATCGGGAAAACGAATATGACAATCCGATCATGAATGTGAAAGACCCTGACGAGGACCACAAACGTGCTCGAAGAGTAAGTACAGAAACAGAGACCCCGTTAACATCAGACACTAGTAATGTCCCAAGCTGGAACAATTCACCGCTCCATGCTATCAGCGGTAGGAAAATGAGACGAAGCTCGTCTCCTGAAAGAACTTTGTTACCTAGCAACACTGGAGAACGGAGTGATGTCTTTCGGGAAAGCTCGGAATCAGGTAGTAATGGGGAGGTGCACCGCCGAATCAAACTGATGCGTATGCATGGACGGAGAAACAGTGGCAATACCTCTAAGGATTCTGGATACGCCGGAGGGAGTTTTGCCTCTCAAGACAGTTCACGCAATCTTCTAGCGTACAGAGATCTACGAGAGGATCAACATAAGCGTGAGAAAGTTAGTGTGACGAAGGACGCTGAAAGCACAAGAGATACTACACCCGTTATTTTTGAACTGGAGAGTGAAACAGCACCTCTGGTTCGTCTCAACAGAACCCAACCAACAAATCCTCAACAGTCGAGGCGATATAGTCTTCAGGTACCTCCGCAACATTCGTATTACCATAACAATGTAACGCGTACTAGAAGCCAACCATACACTCCTCAGCAGGTCCGACCTATCAAGGGCATTATTGGGTCATCTATAAGAGGGAGAAGACCTCCGCTAGAATTCTTCCCCCGAGATATACCGGGGCACGACAGATATAATGAATATCCATACATAGTTGATTGCCCGCCGCTCTACTACAAAGACTCTTACTTCAATTTCAACGAGCAGTTGCAACAACCTGCAAGATCACATCGAAGGACCAACAACCCGCTCTATCGTCTCCCTCCGCAAGAATTTCAACAGTACTCCCCAAATCTCTTCCCATCTCTTTCTTCCTTTCCGACGACACCGCCGCTTCATCAAGTAGCTCACGATGACCGGGCGCGATTCGTAAAACGCAGAACGACCTCAACCCAGACACCAACGGACAACAGCCCAGAGACTCCTCCGGCAAGCCCGCCCTCTTCACCATCCATCATCAGATGGTATAAAGAAGGACGATCGTACGTCCTTATGCCGCGTGATGACATGGGTCTAGATTACATCGGCCCGGTATACTTAGCGGAATCTATGAGTGAGAGTGACCAAAGCCTCTCTGAACCGTTGGATATAACCCTGATATCAAACACTGAGAAAGATCTACGACGTGTACAACCCAGAGGGAGAAGTGATGTTGACTCTGAAACAGAGAGCGAGAGGACGGGTGGGTTGGCTTCGACTGATGATGAAGAAGGCACAAAGGCGTCATCAAAAGATGAGGACAGTGTCAAAGATGAAAGTGCACTGCTCTTAGATGCTACGACCGATTGGATTCATGACACCAAATTGTGAAGATTTTTTTTTTTAATAATTTTATTTCTGAACAGAAAAAAAGTTATACTTACTCATGCTTTCAGTTGAGCTATCATATTATAGTTTTTTTCTTTATAACAAACTCGTTATGACCAGGGAATTTACCATGTTGCATTGAATTCATATTATATGAATGAACCGATGTAAACAAAATTACCTTGTAACAAATTTACATTGTATAGTAGAGGAGGGCTTTTTTTTTTGGGTAACGAGGTGCCAATGTCGTAATATAAATGATATTCTTGCCATTTATTATAATAAGATCGATCACGATATGCAAATTTAATATTACCCAAGTTTATACCGTATAGGCCTATACATTTGAACTACACTTCTGGCAAGGGCCGAAATGTAGTGAATAAAGAAATATTTGATGGCTTACGGACCTATCATACCCGGATGCGACCAACTTTCGAGATGAAGAGCGCCAAGGTCTCATCCGGTAGCTGTTGAAGATTCTAGGAGTCCCTATAGTTTGTTCTGATCGGAAAGAAATCTTGCAATTTATTTACACGAGTTTCTGTTCATTGATTCTAGTAACTAATGAGTAATATAACTACACCTACATTTTTTAGAAAGATCATAATGTGATGATGAAAACTTGCAACTACGCGCCATTTTCTAGTAATAATGGACAACAAAGCCTCAATCGTAAATACATGGTATGTAATGCATACATAATATATAATAAAGATAATAATATTATAAGTAATGATTATGATAATTATTATAATGATAATAATTATATGTATTTTGTTTGTTAAATGATAATATAAAATCTTTTAATAATAGTACTAATGCTAATTCTGAGCTCAAGCTGTAGTACATGAGATGGTTAAGTTTTGGAGTATACCTCAGAGCACTCCCGGCTATTTTACCGCAAGACGGTAAGATTTGACACCAGTGGCGTGACTATGAAGGGCGATGATGGGGGCGCTCGGGGGTCCGTGTCACCTTCAACTGAATTGGAAATTGGGGGGGGGGGGACACTAAAATAATAAAAGGAGCAAGCCTACAAGGACGGTGAAATAAAAGAAGACAAGACAACCCCGCCTCAACCACTTTGATACCCAGTATTTCATTTTCCGTGTTCGAAGCCCTCCAAGCTATGCCTTGAATCAAAACAATTTTATTTAATTTCCCCGTATGGCGTGAGTTAATGCGACAGGAAATGACATCTTTCATAAGTTCTCACCCTTTGTATTTGGAATGCTCTAACTCAATGGAGTATGAAATTGAAATTTCAGCAATGTACACACAAATCACATTAAAGGAAATTCAATCTAATTGTTCTTCTCACAACTTCGTCTGTCTTTCTTTCGCCTCTCTTGATATTAGGAGGATAAGTGGGGAATGGGTGGGGGGTAAGCCGGGTAGACAAACATTGTAGTTACGTTCATTTATTTCTTTTAAGAAGAAGAAGCAAAAGAAGAAAATAAGGGAAATTAAACATGAAAAACAAGGTACAACTGATATATTAACATCATATTGTACGTAACTATAAAAGTAAATAAAAGCATATTCTGTACATTGTATATACATGTTTTCTCAACTAACTCTATCCAATACTCCCCCTGTTTATTTTGTTTTTGTATTATGATTAACACAAACGTCTCAGGTAAAATAAAACACAACTTAAGTCTTTGATATCATATGCATTAAAGGATGATATGCATTGCTGGTTCAGTTTAATACTTGTGATAAGATCCGTGTATGTATACTTTATTTTATGATTATGATATTAATCGTTCACTCAATTAAAAATATAAAAATGACTTTAGTATGTCTCTCTCCCTCTCTCTCTCTCTCTCTCTCTCTCTCTCTCCCTCTCCCTCTCTGTCTGTCTGTCTCTCTGTCTCTGTCTCTGTCTCTCTCTCTCTCTCTCTCTCTTTCTCTCTTTTCAGCCTCTACCTATCATTCTTCTCTTCTCTTTGCTGTACTTTTGCTCCACCAGGTACACCCTAGTTTATGTATTTTGCTTTTTCATCTCCTTAATTGTGAGGGTTCACAAGGCATGACGCTTATATTAGCTTATCATGGAGCCCTGGCCAGTTCTGTTTGAAATAAGTTCATATTTCTTCATTATGTTTTAGTGTATACTGAATATATTTTGTATTCAGAACTCAAAAATAAATGAAATTAAAATGTAGAGTGATTTTAATGAAAATCGAAGATCGTGATTCTATCTAAAATAATCGCACTAGCTTTAACTGTATTATGTCATTAATTTCAATTTGCCACTTTCATTTAATAATGGATGGATTTCACCTTTTATATTCTTTAATAATGTATGGCTCACCGTATATGTGGTTTGCAACACCTGTAGGTGGTATATTGAATATTGTTATTATCCTAAGCACTGTTTTTAATACATTGTTTGAGAACAAAAAAATAATTGTCATCATTTTGTTGGTTATCAGGAACTGAGACTATTAAAACCAAGACATCTGATGATATCAAATTTCTTGACATCTTGACATTAACAGTCTGCTTAATGCTTGCTTTGACACATGAAGCATCCTTTATTTCTACTTCTTTCTTTCTTTCTTTCTTTCATCCATTCTTCTCCTGCTTTCTTCATCCTCCTTTTTCTCCGTGTTGTCGTTGTTGATGCTGATGTTCTGGTTGTTGTTATTGTTATGGTGGTGGTGGTGATGGTGGTGGTGGTGATGGTGGTGGTGGTGGTGGTGGTTCTTCTTCTTATATCACTACTGTAATTCCTCCTCCTCCTCCCCATTCCCCTCCTCCTTCTCCTCCTCATCTACTACTACTACTACTACTACTACTACTACTACTACTACTACTACTACTACTACTACTACTACTACTACTACGAATACTACTACTACTACTATTACTACTATTTTTCATCTCCTTCTGCTGAAATGACTCCGTTTTGTCGCCTTTGTCTTTCATGTTTTCTCTTTTATTTTCCCATTTCGTCTTTGCTGTCTTCCTTTTCTATCCATTCATTCAGGGTGTACAATTATCATCCCCTTTCGTGAAAGACTGTTTATACTGAAAGGACTTGAAGAATTGGCATGCGTCCTATTCCATCACTTAATTAAAACATAGAGATTAATCAATACAGTAATTCAACGGAGATCGTGTACACTTTTATTTTGCAAAAGGAAAACTCAAGGATTTCTTTGTACTGCTAGTCCGATACCTTTTTTATTTCGTTCTACCATGTACTCTTTTTCTGATGCAACCATCCACTGTCACATAAAGAGCGGGAAAAGAAAGAAAAGGTAATAGGGCATCAGGTAGGAAGAAAAATTGAGTGATATCGCGTGTTATGAGAGAGAGAGAGAGAGAGAGAGAGAGAGTGAAAAAGAGAGGGAAAGTGAGACAGAGAGAGAGAGGAGACACAAAGAGATAACTTATCTCTTTGTAAGAGAAAGGAGGAATATATAGAAGGAAGATAAATGCCTCGATATAATATATATAAAATATAAATAAATATAATGTATATAAAATATAAATATATATAATATATATATATATACATACATATATGTAAATACATATATACAGAGAGAGAGAGAGAGAGAGAGAGAGAGAGAGAGATGTGTGTGTGTGTGTGTGTGTGAAAGAGTTTACAGTGCATTGATGCTGTTATCACTGGTTGAGTAATAGATGGCGCTCTTCAACCTGTTGAGGTAATCATTATGTGATCAAGAGTGATCTGTAGATGATTTGCGTTTGCGTATATATATCATTTTTTAGCTGTTTCAGGGTACTTCACTATGCTATGAAAAAAAAGAGAGTGAAAAATAAAAATAGAAATTGCATGAAAGTGAATATTTATTATCATAGGAATTTGTGACGTGACTTCACAATTCTGGAAATAACAAGAAACATGTTAGTGTGATATTATGATGATGTTAATATTTGTTGGTATTGAAGGGACTCAAAATTAGTTTTGTTAATATCAATAAATATGTGTTTTTGTAAAACAAATCAATGACTTATTATTCCACTTTTTATGTGCGTTTTAAATTGTGTGTGAGGTGGATTGTGCAAGATTTAGCTGTTTGATCTTCCTCGTATTTTATATAAAAAATGGGCTATAAACTACATACATTTATCTAAAGCTATATGGGGGAGGTTGAAAGGTATACACTTTTCGGAATGTGTTAACTGAAAATAACTTAGGACTCGTAATTAAGAAAATTGAAAAAAAGGAACCTCAATAAACGAAACGTTAATAGGAAAGCGGATACAGGAGTAAAATGATAAATAGTGTAAAGGGATGACTGACCTCTTGATAAAAACAATTTAAAGGCATAATTAGCGGTCGAAGAAGTGGAAATATGAGCCCTATTTCATTTTTGGAGATTTTGGAGATCTTTCAGAGTATCGACTTTTTGGGATCACGAACCTTCAGAGTAGCGAGCTTTCGTGATCACGAACCTTCAGAGTAGCACCCTTTCGGGATGACGAACCTTCAGAGTAGTGACCTTTCGGGATGACGAACCTTCAGAGTAGTGAGCTTTCGTGATCAAGAACCTTTAGAGTAGTGAGCTTTCGGGATGACGAACTTTCAGAGTAGTGAGCTTTCGTGATCACGAACCTTCAGAGTAGTGACCGTTCGGGATCACGAACCTTCAGATTAGCAACCTTTCGGGATCAAGAACCTTCATATTAGCAACCTTTCGGGATCACGAACCTTCAGAGTAGTTACCTTTCGGGATCACGAACCTTCAGAGTAGCAACCTTTCGGGATCACGAACCTTCAGAGTAGTGACCTTTCGGGATGACGAACCTTCAGAGTAGTGAGCTTTCGTGATCAAGAACCTTAAGAGTAGTGAGCTTTCGGGATGACGAACTTTCAGAGTAGTGAGCTTTCGTGATCACGAACCTTCAGAGTAGTGACCGTTCGGGATCACGAACCTTCAGATTAGCAACCTTTTGGGATCAAGAACCTTCATATTTATTTAGCAACCTTTCGGGATCACGAACCTTCAGAGTAGCAACCTTTTGGGATGACGAACCTTCAGAGTAGCAACCTTTCGGGATCACGAACCTTCAGAGTAGCAACCTTTCGGGATCACGAACCTTCAGATTAGCAACCTTTCGGAATCACGAACCTTCAGAGTAGTGACCTTTCATGATCACGAACCTTCAGAGTAGTGAGCTTTCGGGATCACGAACCTTCAGATTAGCAACCGTTCGGGATCACGAACCTTCAGAATAACGAACCTTTCGGACCTATGAACATTCGGAATAACACAATTTAACGAAAAGAGAAAGGAGGAATATATAGAAGGAAGATAAATGCCTCGATATAATATATATAAAATATAAATAAATATAATGTATATAAAATATAAATATATATAATATATATATATATATATACATACATATATGTAAATACATATATACAGAGAGAGAGAGAGAGAGAGAGAGAGAGAGAGAGAGAGATGTGTGTGTGTGTGTGTGTGTGAAAGAGTTTACAGTGCATTGATGCTGTTATCACTGGTTGAGTAATAGATGGCGCTCTTCAACCTGTTGAGGTAATCATTATGTGATCAAGAGTGATCTGTAGATGATTTGCGTTTGCGTATATATATCATTTTTTAGCTGTTTCAGGGTACTTCACTATGCTATGAAAAAAAAGAGAGTGAAAAATAAAAATAGAAATTGCATGAAAGTGAATATTTATTATCATAGGAATTTGTGACGTGACTTCAC